AAGTTCTTCCATCGGGACTTGCAGTCGCTGCACGATCAGTATGCACAGCCCGCCCAGCAGCACAACCGGAATCTCAACGAGAAGCTGTATCACATATTTGAGACATATCTACCCATGCTTCAACGCAACGGCAACACCTTCCAGAATGTGCCAAAGTTGCGTATGCCCAAGGTGAGTGGCCGAATGTGTTTACCAAACTTCATAAATCATTTCAAAAACCCGCCCACAGACCGCCAGCCATATCTACCTGGAGGCCATACAGACTCTGCAAAGCTGTCAGCAAACAAAGGGAATTCTTGGCGGTGCCATTCTCTACCACAACAAGTGAGTGTCTCGGTAAACAACTTTTCAGCCTTGCTAATCTCTCTCTCTCCCCGTCAATCCCAGAGTGGTTGCCTCTCAGCTCGGAGATGTGGTGACGAAACAATTGGTGCTTACCGATCCGCGTCATGTGCGCACAACGGCCGAGCAGCTGAACATGCAACAGTTTCACATACCGAACGGCGTGCAAATGCTGGTCGTCTATGTGGAGCAGGAGCAGTATCGCAAGTTGGTCACGGAGGCACAGCGTGCGCAGAATCTTCAGACGACAACCACGCAGCTGGGCCAAGGGTCACTTCCATTCCAATATGCGAAGCGTAAGCTGAAGCGCGATAAGTCGCTTATCTTCACCCATATACCTGAGGAGGAGCAGGCGACGTCGACGTCGGAAACGGCGGAGCTGCCGACGGCTAGGCCGAAGTCGATGCGGCCAACCCACTTGCCATTGCGCTTGAAGAGCTTGCACAGCAAGGAGCTACCCGAGTCTGGCATAGCTTCCATCAATTTCGATGAAACGGACTCCTATCCCGAGTTCATTGGCCGGACTAGCGTCTGCAATACGCCAATGACAGAGAACAAGGTGCTGCCGGTTGCGAGTGTTATGTCTATCTGCGCCAATCCCGAGGACGAGGATGCTGATGCACATAACTCGAATGGCAAGGTGGCAACAGGAACCGCCTCGTCGTCGCGTCGTAACTCGCTCAAGCAAGATGTGGAGAAGTTCTTTCAGAACTTCATCAGCAATCCGCACAAACAGCTGACGCGTCGCAAATCCTCAGCCGATTTGCAGGATGCTTTGCGTGCCATTTCCAAGAAATTGGGTCACATCACACAAGGCTTCAAGACCGATGAGAATCGCAATGGCAACGGTCACGCCGATGGCAGCTCCGATGCATCTCCCGACTACATTGAGAACGATGAGCGCAGCAGCTCACGTACGATTAGTGATCCCACCTATCCGGTTTTCAATGCCAACGGTCAGCAGATATCACGTAGCCTGTTCCAACAGTTTCTTGAGCAGTATCGCAAGCTGTGGGGCGTGGCCAGCGAACAGGCCGCACAGGATGCCGAGCTGGCGGCGCTCATTGCCGAATTTCAGGAGTTCAACATGGAAATACAAAAGCTGGATGAGCACATGAGACAGCAGGCCGCCGAGGCATCGGCCTCGGAGGCCACTGAAGCAGCCGATCGTAATCTCAATATAACAGCAAAGACGCCGTCAGATAAACGGGCCATGTGTCTGCCTCTGAAGTCAGCGGGTGAGTGCGGCAATGTGGAGACAATTGTTGCCCAGCGTCGTAATGGAGGCGCTGGCGTCCCCCTGACACCGCTCATGGCTAAGCTCTCTGTGCTGGCGCTCAACGAGACCACGCCCATTGAGATACAGACGCCGCTGACGAGCAGTAAAGGATTTCCGCGTCGCAGCTCGCTCAAGTGCGAAGATGCCGTCGATGCTCTCGCCGCATTCTCCAATGCGCAGCCAGCTGCAGCAACGTCTTCGACGGATGGTCTGCAGCGCACGGAGCTCTATGTGTGCGGGCAGCAGAACATGACATTGTTGCTGCTAATGGAAGAGGGCTCCTGCTTTCAGCAGAACAT